TTGTTAATGAGGAGGCAAAGAGCCATGAGCAGGAAGTGATCTTATGGCACCTTAGCTGTGAACCTCTACACAAGCAAATTGCTGCTATTAATGGAGGTGAAAGTATTATGACCTCACAAGATCTTGCACCTACAATGAATTTGGACAAATGTAGGATAATAGATGATAGTTTCTATTCTCTGGGCGTTTTATTACACCTCAAACTCTGGTCGTCATTTTGACAGATACTGTGGAGGAAAAAGACGAGACATTAATTTTTCATAAGTTTGTTTTTCATCTGTGACCACAGAACCATATAAAGAAGTCTACAGAGTGGACAAAAGACATGTTGACCCAATAAAACCTGCAGTTTATGCTGTATGCAGCTTAAACATCAGCAGAAGAGTTGACCTCTGCACATGGCATTGAGGGACAAAGGTGCCACTAGGCTAAACAATACCAGCTGCTGCTCAGCAACAGGCTCACAAAAACATAGCGTTTCTTTTAAAACGACACAGCTCCAGGTCATTGCTGTATCCACATTTTGCAATCAAGAATGATTTATCGACAAAATCCTTTCCACTGAGTGGAGCTCACTTGCATCAAACTAGCTCTGCTGGCGTTCATAATTCGGCTTTGTATGTTCTGGCGTCCTTGGAAGGGTTGCTCTCCTACATTAAAAATGCTCCATAACACCCAGCCACCTGAGCCTCTTGTGACAGGGTCAGACAGGTCACACACAGCAGCCTCACGTGCCCCGCCGTACTCTGAAACACATAATCAGATCAGCAGCGAATGAAAATGACTCCGTGGCTTGGCTGGTGATTTGTTTTTGCTGAAATGTTGCTTCACCTGCTGCTTTGTCAATGCGGCTGTTAAAGCCATACATGCTCTATTTGTTATTTTAGAGGTAAATTTTGAATAAAGCTGCATAAATAGTGTTTTGGCCGATCCTGTCTAACCTGATTTGTTTTTTTTCATGATGCATTCAGCAGTGTTAGCAAACAAAGTTGAGCTGCTTTCCATATCACTGAAAGCCCCTCTTTTCAGTTTGTTTGCTATTTAATGTTTCCAGGGTTACAGATTACAGTTGGAAATTACTCTTTGAATATATAACCATAGTATATTGTTTTAATCTAAGCTGTTAAATTACTTTTAATATGGATGGGGTTTTTTTTTCTGGCACAGGAACCTTTTGAAAATGGATGCAAGCTCTTGTAATACCAAATTTCCCTCTGGCCTAATAGAATCTTGAATACAGTTGAGCCCACTCGAGAGCAGAAAATGAGTCATGAGAACAAGGGTTTGTGTTTAGTGCTTCCATTTTCACAGACACATATGACTCCATATCAGTTGGGAAATGTGAGCTGTCTTAAGTGCAGTCTTTCAGTGGTTAAACCCCCTCCTCTTGCTGCATACAGCTACCTGTGTTATTATCTCTGGAGACCAGAGTGTTCAGATTACAGGGTTTTGTGTTGGAGCTTGTTACTGGTTGGGCCTGGCTTGTTTTTCCTTTCACAGTTGTACCTAGGTCAAATGGCAGGAATGTGTTGCAGGACTCCAAACAGCTTTTTAACAGAGATGTTTATCATCACATTTTGTCATATGTCTTTACGTAAGCCTTGCTTTTTTCAAAAATGCACTGTAGCCATTGATTTTTTTTTTTTTTTGAGATGTAGCCTGATGGAGGTGTACGTCAGAACTGCAGACTTCCTAATAAACAGTCGGTGTTGATGTAAGAATAGTCCAGATGATAGTCTGATGAGTTCACAGTTAGTCACTGACTGTCCTGTGTCTGGCGTCCAGCACTCACTTGTTGGGCAGCTCCTGCAAAACCAAATGAAATATTTCCAGTAGAGAGAATGATGCTGGTGTGAATTATTTTTCACTGTGTGCTACATGTGAGAAAAGAAGACTTTAGACAAATGACTCAACCTGAATCTCCTGGCATGAAGTTCAGCTCTGTCCATGTATACAGGAAAGTCTGACCAGGTGTTTCATGGTCTTTACCTTGTTTTCAAAGACCTTAAGTTGTATTTTGACCATGGGGCAACAACTTGCATGATGTCTGAAAATGATGCAAGCGGCTTGAATTTCATTCCTTGAGGACCTAAAGGGGGGTGGAGGGTTGAGACAATTTCCCCTCATACCTGTTCCAGCAGGCCCAAGAATTTGTATAAGAAGGACTTCAAAGTGGTCTTTTAATAACAAAAGGAACTTAAATCTACCAGTCACATATTTTAGGGATGACAGCATTCCACACAACAGGTCATTCAGTGTAAAAACAAGTCACTGCTCCGAGAAGAGTTGATTCTGGCATAAATCACATTGCATGATTTTAATGTTCCAGTACAGTCCTGCGGTTATGAGGGATACATTTGAGATTACCATAAGTGCTGACATTATCAACCGAGTTGAAAGTGTACACTTAATGACTCTCTCTGACTTTTTTGTAGTGTAAAAAATATAAAAAATAGAATACAGGATGCCTGTATATCATTTCCAAAAAAGAACTGAAAACCAGAAGATCACCACAGCCCATCTTAACTGAGCTCTGGACCATTTAAGAAGAAGGCAGATGTGTTTCTGCATTTTCTTTATAAAGTTTCTTTATTTCTTAAATGATATTTTGTACTCTAGATTATGAAATGTCCCATTTTTTCTTTTCTTTTTTACAGTTTTAAGATGAGAAATCTTAACCATACTGTCCAAACATAAGCCAAAAAAGTCACCAGGTTGAACTGTGGTTCAGGCAGCATGGGAAATCACTTTCTCACGTGGATTGCCCACTACAAAGTTCAAACCTTGTGTTTTGCTTTTGCATGTCATTATAGTAAAGTTACCCACCCCTTAATAATCCTGGAACCACTTTAATTTTTGAAAGTCTCCAGTGGGAACTCTTTAGATTTGGTTGATCTTTCATGGGATCACCAAATTATGATCATCCAGTGGAATTAACTTGTGATGTGTGTTAGTCTGTATTTCTAAAAGAATCCACTGGGTGTATGCGATGGGATTTTAGCACCCTAAAATATCTTTTCCAGCCGTGGCATTTCTTGCTCATGTATTAATAAAGAGCTGATGATGGTTTCTGTGCGGCAGCAGCATTGCAGCTTCAGAGAACATTGTGTTGGGGAATTGAGGCCATTTAAAAGTTGTATTCAGATGTTCTGGTAGCTCCAGTGCAATTAAATTTAATAATCCTGCGTTTTCATTTTTGAACAATGCATTCTTAAAAATTTAGTATAACATTTCTCTGGGTCAGCCATTTAAATGATGTGTTTTGCTATACCAGGAGCTTCAGTGTAAATCATGTTCAGTAGGAATCTGTGTTGTGTCTTTTAAACAGTGCCAATAGAAACTTGCTGACTGTTCTGTTCCCTTTTCAACCTATTTATGGTCTTGTGGCAGAGTGATTGGTGGCCATGTATTCTGCTGAGAATCTTTTTCTTTAAATCTGCTGATTTGTTAGGAGATGAGTTGCATTTATTGCAACATTTGGTTTGGTTTGGTCTCATGGATTTGGCTGAATATTCATTTTGTACATTTTACTTCCAATTTCACTCATAAGTTTAAGCGTACAGATATAGATATGTAAAGATAATCTGTTGCATAACAGTAATGCATAACTTTGTTGCAATTCTATTGTAGTCCAAATTAATCAGTAAAGTTTTTGGTCCAACACCTGGCTCCTGAACTTCAGAGATTAACAAATGAGATTCCTGGGTTCCAGCGAGATCCATCTGCATCACTTGTAATTTAGTTCTGGTCATTTTGCCATTTTACATACACAATAACACATTTGTGCTACAAATAGCAGAAACTTCAATCATAAAGAGCAACCATTACAAGGTGGACATTTTTCTCTCCTCTTCTCCATTTTTAAAAATTAAGGTTATTATGTAGGAATGCTAAGTGAAAAAACTCCAGAAGTGGTCCACAGTATATTGCAGTGCTTGCATTTTGTGAGCAATGCTTGTATGCCTCAGTGAATATCATTTCCTGTAACAACTTTGGTGTTTTGTTTTTTTTCATAGTTCTTTCCCTCCTGCGTTTCCGCTCTGTTCTATTTTGTACCAAATGGGATTAAATGAAACAGCCAACACACTGCAGAGTTATATAAAAGATGAATGTAGTTGTGTAAAGTTCAAACATGGTACACTGCAGTACCAGTGAGGGTTGATGAGTGGACAGAATAAGGAGGGAGGATAAGGATCACAATGTATAAAAATGGGGTCAACTTCCATTTACGTAAAGCCCCTCCTCACAGTAAGCCTGAGGGCAACACCAGAGGGTTGGGCTTGTTTGCTTATTTGCAAAAACACAGTACCCCCCTCGAGGGTCTATCCTAAAAAGTGGAGAAGCACACATCGTGAGAAGCAGCGGCCACAAATGAGTTAGCTAATCTTCTGTCCCATCTGTTGGTGGTCCCAAAGTGGAACAGGACTTTTGTTTTCCTTTTTACATCACACTGTCCGGCCTAAAGGCGGATAAATAGAGTCCAAATGTGCATTATAGTCAAAGCTTCTGCACCCTCCTGCTCCCAGTCCTTGTTAATGCAGGAAGCAGTGCCTGAGAGCAAACAACTATATCTCTGCATGGATGGTTCATTCCAGTTCTGAATAACTCATGTTCGCTCACACTGTCATTAGGTACCCTCCACTTCACAAAATCCCTGTACATATTGAAGGGGGCTTGAGTGGCTCACATCCTCTACCAGTCTAAGCACAGTGTTTATTTAGCTGACTTTACAGATAATTACTAAAGAAATAACTGCAAAGCAAGACAAGTTACAGCTCTGCGTTTATAACATCTACCATTATCAATTCTTTTTATGTGAACAGTGTCCTATGTTTTAGGGGAAAGCCTAGGATGGAAACAACATGTCATGTTCCGTCTTTACGTGTCCATATCTGTAGACAGATTTGTTGAAAGAGTACAAATATTTAGCTAAGCCACACATAATTAAGAGCACACAGGTTTTGCACTGATTTTTCATCTAGATATCATCTGTTTTTCAGAGGTTTGTGGATTATACCAGCCAAAGGAACAAACTGTCTTAAGATCTAGTGACAAAATGCCAGAAAAATCATTACGGCCCTGCAGGTAAAACACCATTCAGATACAGTTCTTTTCTTCTGTATGTCTCTCCTTCATGTCCCCCTAGGTTTATTTAATCTGTTTCCCCCTGTCCGTTTAGCCTTTGAATCATGGGAAATGCTGAGAGCCAGAATGGGGACCATGCCCTCTATGGACGTGGCTATTTGTCACGTAAGCACATGTCTCGGTCTCTTCGCATCTCCAACAAGCAGTCCAGACGCTCTCGCCATGCTTCATCAGGAAAAATAGAGCACAGGAACTCTGAGACAAGCACGCGCTCAAGTAGCACACCCAGCATCCCACAGTCCCTGGCTGACAATGGCCTGGAACCCTTCAATGAGACAAATATCCTCCCAGACTTTGGAAGCCCCATTTGGGTGGACCGGGTGGCCATGAATCTGCGTCCAGTATCCTTTTACAATGACCTGGCCAATCCCTCAATGCACATAACCCTACCTGGTCCCATGGCAGAGGAGGTGCAGGATGAAGATATGTACGCAGGTGAAGTGAAATACCTCCAGAAAACCCCAGACTGCTCCAAGGAGACTGTTGGCTTCAAGAAGAGGTCTAAATCTGCAGACATGTGGCGAGATGACAGCCTGGAGTTCTCCCTGTCTGATGTCAGTCAAGATCACTTGACCAGCACAGAGGAGATTATAGACTTGACTAACGAGAGGGACTTCACTGGCTGCGAAGGCCACCTGCAGTCCAGCCCAACAGACTCCACTGACAGGGCAAACTCACTGGATGAGCTGTATAGCCAGATGAGTCCTGCCTCCAGGCAACTCCATGGCCGCTATGCAAAGTGGCACAACACCAACAGGGCTATCAGGGAGGGTGAGGACGATAAAATGCTATCTCCATCAGACGAGGATGGAAACACCTACGGTGCATACACCCTTCCCTGACGACGTTCACACTGCTTGTCTGAAGGCCTGACCAGCCACCAAGTTGAAATGTGTGCCAGCATGCAGGGCAGGAGGGCGCAGACTATACAGGTAAGATCTATAACTATTTTATAATGTACTGCTTGTTTGCACATTAAATTTAGCTTTAAAAAAGTAATTGAAAATGTGGTTATTAGAAAACAGTAAAAATTAATCTCGAGTGCTGATGAATTTTTGATAGCCTGTTGGATACATATATGTCAAGGACCTTCCTTTGTTTAATGCCGTCGTGGATATTCTGTTCTGTTTTGGACAGAGCATGAAAAGCTGTGCTAAATCTGAAATGATCTAGTAGTAGTACAGCTCCCTTCATTCACTTCCCCAATGAATCTGTGAGTTTGTTCCGCTTCAGTCACCTCACAATAAGCTGTTAAAACAAACTGAGTGTAAAAAGAAAGCTTGTGTGGGACGAGGGAGTCGTAGTTTCCTGAAGAAACTGTTGTTTTTCTTGTGAGAGGAGATTGCGATGATGGGAGGGGGCGAGCACAGCCTAAAGTCACTCTCTGTTAGAAATACCTCGGCCTTTGTTATGATAATGAAGGGAGGCATGTGGAAGAGTGTAACAGTAAAACGTGCATTGGTGGCCCTGTCTCTACGGGGCACCGTCAACTCTGGTGAATGGAGCTCTGGACCGCATGATTAGGTCATGTGACCAGATGGAGATACCAAGCTCAGTGTAACCCCCTTCATCTCCCAGGAGCCTTTGACCATGTGGGTAGGAGAGGGCAGACCCTGTGGTGCCACAGGCCGGGCAGGCTGTGCTCACACAACGGCAGACGCTTTGCTGTTGGCAATTAATTTTAAGCAGAAACTCAGGGTTAGGCAACCTGTGGGCTCTCATTAAGCATCTGTTTTTTGTTTGTTTTTTTGCAACATGTTTGCTTTTCAAAAATGCTTCTATCCTTTATTTAGAGATAGACGATCAGGTGAGGGCAGCGGTTGTTAATGACCAGCTGCCCTCTTAGTGATGAACAAGAAGCTGTGATGCCATCTCACCTGTTTTGTGCTTCTGCCACAACTCAGGATGTCACAGGCGGGGAGGGCAGCGAATATGAGGACAGCGGCATCGACGGGGTGACGGTGGAGCCGGAGCACCAGTCTCGCCGCTACAAGACCATGTCGGCCTCCTTCTCTGTGTTCTCAGTGCATGGCAGGAACATGTTCACTGGCAGTGACAGCGGGAGCAGCAGTGGCGGCGGAGGGGCCAGCGAGTGCGTTCAGGGCGTGTACGAAAACTTCCGTCAGGAACTACAGATGAGCTCCTGCCAGACTGAGAGCTTGGAGGAGGCGGGGTCTGCCCTAAGTGATGAGCAGAGCACTATGAGCTCCGCCTACCAGTCCGACCTCTTACTCAGTGTTGTCCAAGGGATGGTGCGCAAAGCTGGCAAACTTGCTGTTAAGAACTTCCTTGTGCATAAGAAAAACAAGAAAGTGGAGTCAGCCACAAGGCGCAAGTGGAAGAGTTACTGGGTTTCTCTCAAAGGTGTGTCATGGCCTCAGTGGTATCATTAAATTTACATTTTATTGCACTGCAATCCTGTAATGTCAGCCTGTGACATCCTGCTCATGCAAGATAATATGTTTGATGCTATTTAGGTACATGCTGACATTCAAAAGGGAGAGCAAAGGTTTACTTCAAATAAGATTTCTTTAAGGCATTATGTCACTGGACTGGACTTGAAATCAATTTAGAAGCCTGTGTCTAATAAAGCCTTTCTCCCTGACTCTTGCCATGCTGCACTTCTTAATGTTGGCCACTGGAGAGCAGAATTAAATTGCTTGAGGAAATCTGACTTTCTTGTAAAAATAAATAATTAAATCAACAGTTCCATTGTGTTGGTTTACCAGGTTGCACGCTCTTCTTCTATGAGACTGATGGACGTTCAGGAATTGACAACAACAGCAATCCCAAACATGCCATCTGGGTGGAGAACAGTATTGTCCAGGCTGTACCAGAACATCCCAAAAAGGACTTTGTGTTCTGCCTCAGCAATTCCCTGGGAGATGCCTTTCTGTTCCAGGTAAGAAAATTCATGTATGTCAACTGTTCTGTGAATAAATACAAATTTAATTTGCATACATTGCCCTGTATTGACTGTATTTTCTTTTTATGATCTTTAAAATTCTGGCCTTTTAATACATCAGGAGCAAAACAAAACAAAAACAAAAAAGGAGTTTGTGTGCTGTGTGACCTTTGACCTTTCATGGTCCCTCCCCCTGTAGACCTGCAGCCAGACAGAGCTGGAAAACTGGATCACAGCCATCCACTCAGCATGTGCCACTACTGTCGCCCGCCAGCATCACAGAGAGGACACTGTTCGGCTACTTCGCGCCGAGATCAAGAAGCTCGAGCAGAAGATCGACATGGACGAGAAGATGAAGAAGATGGGAGACATGCAGCTGTCTGCTGTCACTGACACCAAGAAGAGGAAGACGATCCTGGATCAAGTAGGTGTCATGCTACTTTCTTCCTTGAGCTCATGTCAGGCAGGTGTGAAGGGGGAAAACATTTCTGAACAAGGCATGGAAAGACGACTTACTGCTATATTATTTCTGATTACAAATCACCTTTCTATAAAAATAGATTATTTCAAAAGAAAACAGTGAAGTTAAACAAAGTTTTACCAGTTTGATTTCTTAATGCGTCTCTATAACTTCAATACTGATAGAAAGTATATATGAAAAAAATGGGTTGAGTAGCTTCAAAAAACACCTGGAATGCAACATAGTGGCCCCTATCTTGGCTGAATATTTATCAAATAAGGATGGAAGTATGAAAAATGCCAAATATAACTGTGCCCCATCAGTCAGTTTTAGTTGTGACATACTTGTTTTTCAATTTTAAGCTTTTGCCCATCCCTCCTAGTAATCAGCCCATAAAAGTTGAGTTTTGTCTGGATTCACAAGCATGTCAGGAAGACGTATTAAAAAAGCATTATATCTATTTAAGAGCTCTTAAGACATCTGTTAAACCTCAATGAGAACTAATCCTGAGGAATCTTTAGCTTAATTAAAAAATGCTCAAGATCATTTTTAGTGATATTTTAGCTATTGCTACAATACTTACAGATATCAAATGTAAGTATGTATTTCAGTCTTGTATCCTCAGGTTTTTAATACATGGAATATGAGGAAAAGAGAGAAGCAGGGAGCAATGAGAGAGGATTAAGTTGCAGATTTAGAGGAATCATCCGCTAGAGGCTGCTAATGCTACAAATGTAACAGCCCCCAGATTGCTTTTTATTTTTCTTATTGTAATATGCACTTTGCTCTGGTCAGCCTGACATTCTCAATTAATTGCAAAGTTCATATTGTCTTTAATGGGTCTGTTTACAGAAAGGGGAGAGATCGCTGTTGTTTGGTCCGTTTGGTAGTGGCTGGTTGGAGCTGTTCTGTTTGGCAGTGTCAGGTTTCAAATTGTGAGAACTGAATGGATGTAGGACTGCTCCTTAGAAAGCTGAAACGCTCCCAGCCTCTATCTGCCAGTGGAATGCGCAGTATTGTTTCTTTCTCGTCTCTGGGCTACTTGGCAGTAATACAGAGCACTCTGCCATGGAGCTGGCCGCCTATTCCAAACACCAGTGCAGGACCATGACAGGGAGGGGACAGCCCAGTGAATAATCACAATGTCCTGCTCTGCTGCCCCAATAAACATCAAACCATTAGGCACAGAGAGAGTGCAGGTTGGCAACACTTTGAGAAAAGTGGTAACAGAGCTTCTATGGAAGTGAGGAGATGCTCCATCGTAGTCTGAAGTTGACAGACAAGGGCATTAATGAACTATTAACTGGATGTACTGTTGTGTCCCTCTCAACCTGCAGATATTCTTGTGGGAGCAGAACCTGGAGCAGTTTCACATGGATTTATTTCGCTTTAGATGCTACCTGGCCAGTCTGCAAGGAGGAGAGCTGCCTAACCCCAAACGCCTTCTGGCTTTTGCCTCTCGCCCCACCAAGCTGGCAATGGGCCGGCTGGGTATATTCTCGGTCTCTTCCTTCCATGCATTGGTAAATATTCTCTTCTTTATTTTAGCTGCTGAAGCAAACACAATGGCATATTTTAGTGTCCTTTTCAATTTCTTTTTTTTGTGGAAAAAGAGACCTGGAGACCTCAAAAATGTACCTTGGAATTGATTATTATATTGGGGACAAACATCTATCTAAAGTGCACTTAAGTAACAGTAGCTGTCGCTGTTGCAGAGCTCAAACCTGTTCTCATATTGTTAGTAAAGGACTGTGAAATCTCACTCAAAATACACTTTGGCATCACTGAGCACATCCAGTGATGCTCTTGGCAGGACAGTCGAGTCCAAAAACTACAACGCATTGTGTCAAACCACGCTTTTCTTTTTTAAAAATAACGACTATGCTATTTATGAGCTCGGGTCTCACGTAGGTCACCCGTTTGTGAGGGTTTTAGTTCAGTTTTGGCCTCCCACTGCTGCTGCAAAGAGGTTATGTACTTCACATCTAAAAGCACTAGTAGTAAAAGAAAACATCTGATTTTTTAGCGATGTTTCGCAGATCACTGAGGTGCTTTTTCCCTCACCACCACCAACGCAGTGCTACAGAGCAGGTGGGTGTTTGAGCTGGGAGATAGCAGTTAAGGATGTCTAACAAAAGACAACTGCTAAGAGCTTTCCTACGCTTTCACTCCTCTTGAATTTACTCTGTATCAGCACTGTACACTCACCAGAATGGCCTGCAAAGTGTTGACAGAACAAATGACAGAATGAGTGCCTAGGCTAGTTTTAGAGCCTGCTGCAGGCACAGTGCTGATATGTATTTTATTTAAAAAAAAAAAAACCCCAAACCTTTTACTTATTTCTTAATAGTTAAGCTGCCTAAAAAAATGTCCAAGTCTAGTTTTCATGCATAATATTTGACTACTCTATATCTGTATGATTAACACGACCATTTATTCAGTCACTTAAGACAAGGTAATTTCCATAAACCACTCAGTGAAATGTTCCTTGATCACTTTTTTTATATACTCAGTTTTATTTCTTCTTTCTCTTTTTGTCAGAACTGTAGCTTTCCTCTCTTGAATATTTATGATTTTATTTATTTTAAAACCCCCTAAAATATGCTGATATGCTGCACTTCTAAAGTCATTTTGGCAAAATGGGATTTGACGCAAGGTCAAACAGATAGCTGTCGATCTCATTTGATCCGTTTTTGACCCCACTTCGCCGTGTTACGTTTTCCAGGTGGCAGCCCGCACAGAGACCGGAGTGAGGCGGCGAACGCAGGCCATGTCTCGTTCCTGCAGTAAGCGCAAGAGCAGGTTCTCTTCCCTCTGGGGTCTGGACACTACCTCAAAGAAAAAGACAAAAGCCCACCCAACGGTCAGCCAGGTCTGTGAAGTGTTCCACCTCCTTCCAAAATTTCCGCGCTTAATCACAGCTGACAAGTTACTTTTGCCCATTTCTCAAGCATCCATCCTACCTGACTGGTAACTTGCCATTTTGTTGTTTGCTCCTGCAGGTTTTTGCTGATGGTGAAGAGCCCATTAAAAAGCCAGTAGATGGCATATATGTTGATCCTGCTAAGGAAAACACAGTAAGGATGAATAATTCAGTTATCTGTTTGCATTCATTTGTCAGTGAGCAGTTGGTCAAACAGAAGTGCGAACTTCCTCAACAAAATATGTGGCCAACATTGACATCAGTGAAATATTACCCCTTAATGTATTCTGAGTAAGCGCCAGAGCCAAAGTGAAGAGTTTACAAGCTGTGACAGCTACTCAGAAAAATTAGAGCTTTTAATTTTTCTTTCATTCCCCATTTAAGCAAATGCACTATATGGCTTGGAAAGTGTATTCCGACTACTCTGTGATTTAGAAGGAAGATGCAAAGTATTGGTGAAGATGGATTATTTTGGAGACTATTTTAGAAGTATTATCTAATTTGAAGAAGTCAGACCTTGCAGTAAAGTGTGTTTAATTACTTTGGATGTCTCCATTTCAAGAAAAGTGAGGAGGGAACTGTGAAAAGCCTTCCACGACCCAGCACAGAGAGCGATATCTGGGTTCCTGACCACCTTACACCCTCCTGGGTATGTCTCCCAAATGACCAGCCCGTGCTAACAATCATCCAGCCAGGAGAGTCTGCACTGTGTGTTCTCGAGTCCATCTGCAAGGTAAAAAAACACAGAGCCTCGAATGAGCTACGGTTTAAAGCGATATTCATAAGACGCTTAAACTGAAAGCCACACTGAGCCAGAGAAATACCAGCTGTTAGGAAAACATGAAAGATATCTCACTGCTGCGATTCTGGATAAATTTCTGTCTTTTTGTGCTCATCCCACAGGCTCATCAGCTCGATCCCACTAAACACTACTTACGACTCAAATTCCTTATAGAAAATCAAGTGCAATTCTACATTCCCAAACCAGAGGAGGATATATGTGACTTGGTATGTCACTGATATCTTGAATATGATCTTTCCTCCCCTCACAGGCTGTTTTGAAAATGAGTCAAGGTCAAGAAATGTATTTAAAAAAAATGTCAGGAGTTGATTTACAATGTATTAGGAATCACAATAGGAAAAAAAATACTACAGCAACAAGGTTTATAATAAATAAAACTATGTGCCTGGGAGATCCATGCACCAAAAATAATCATGGAGAAGCTTTATAAACAATATCTGTAACCTCTTTTGTAATTAAATCATGTAATCATGACATAGCAAAGAAACTCCTCTATAAAGAGCTGCTAGAGCTGCTTTGTCTGAAAGTACAGAAAATTAATGGCCTCCTTCCATGCTGTCAATAACCCACCCACCACGCCATGAATGAAGTAGGCTGTTGTTTCAGGATGTATAATGACTTCCTTTTGTTCCTTGCAGCTGTACAAAGAAATTGAGCTTTGCTCTAAAATAACTAAAGTAATCCAGTTTGACAGAGATGAATCCTGCATGATTGGTTACGGTAAGAATAATTTTCTATCTTTATTTAGAATGCTGCAATGAAGTCAGTGTTAAAGACTCGTATTTCTGTTTTCTTCAGCATAAGAATTGATTTTCTTTGACCTTTTGTTAACCATCCCTATTTGTCCCTCTGATGCTTGGCTAATACCAACATTTTCTCTCTCTCTGCTTTTCTTTCTCTTCACATTTCCCTTTTGTGTTCAGGTTTCTCCATTTCGGTGGTGGAGGAGGATGGAGTACAGCAGCTCTACATCACCGATGTAAAGGCAGGGGGATTAGCCTTTGCTAAAGGTTAATTATCCTTCATTTCTACTGAAAGAACTCTTCCTAAACACACTTTGTATCTAATAAGCCACACTTTAAAGAAAAATATAAACAATGCAGGTTGCCTTAGCTGTTTTTAGTGCTTCTCCATTTTCTCACATCAAGGCCAGGAGAGTTTTCATCTCCTGCTTGGTTTCTCTTTCGAAAAATGCATTAGCACGTTTATTCAACAGGTAGAGAAGGTTTTAGAGGACACAACACTTCTCAAGGGTGCTGATTACTATAATCATGCCTCTCACTGGCCTTTATGAAGAATTATGTTGAATCTGACACTTAACAACGGCTGCTTCACACTGGCTCTCCTGTAATGAAGCTGAAGAGCTGAATGATGTCAAAATAAAGATAAAGAGCATTGATCCCAGAACAATTATGACTGATGTTGGACAACAAGTGTTAATGTGTTACTGGCTAATATTTCACAAAAAATAGAGAAACGGGTCATGCCTGTGGGGCTGAAATTAAAACAACAGTCTCCAAAGTTGTAGATTGTGGCTCAAGAGTTGGGAGTTTGTCCGGTTCGAGCCCCGGCTTGGACAGTCTCGGTCGTTGTGTCCTTGGGCAAGACACTTCACCCGTTGCCTACTGGTGGTGGTCAGAGGGCCCGGTGGCGCCAGTGTCCAGCAGCCTCACCTCTGTCAGTGCCCCCCAGGGTGGCTGTGGCTACAATGTAGCTTGCCATCACCAGTGTGTGAATGTGTGTGTGAATGGGTGGATGACTGGATGTGTAAAGCGCTTTGGGGTCCTTAGGGACTAGTAAAGCGCTATACAAATACATTTTACTTAAAACACCATTTGAACATTTCAAGCAGAAGTTGTTCGATTATTGCTAAAGATAGGTCATTACGATCTGATATTAGAGAACATTTTTTTTAGTAAATGAAGGAACAGGAGACCGTAAACTGGAGCTGATGCTGAAAGCTGGTTGTGCATGTTTTTGCAGGTCTGAACGCAGGGGATGAAATACTTCAGTTAAATGGAAAAGACTCCCATAGTCTTAATTTCTCTGACATGAAAGCAGCATTCTCTCAGGCTTCACTGGCTCTGACAGTCAACACCTTGCCTGCGGTGGACCGCCGTCAGCTCTGCTACTTGCCGCCACGCCGCTCAGATGCAGAGGAAGATCTCTACACTGACATTTTCTCCCAAAGTCAAGGTAAAAGGAAAAAAAACACAAATGGTATACTTTAACATTATGCAGTGCTGTGTGGAGTTTAGTCAACCTTTCTTTCTTTTGCTGGGGAAAAAAGTGCAGTGATTTACTGAAATATATGCAAACATAAACGATACTACAGTCAATAAATAACAACAGGATTGAAAGTCAATATTTGCTTTGAATTCCTTTATTCTTTAGCACAGAACTCTTTTCTTTCTTTTCTTTTGAAGTCTCTTAGCCAAGCTTATTTTAATTTCTTTAAGTAGTCTTCAGGAATAGTTCCAGGCTTTCCAGGCTTGAAGGACATTTAAAGCTCTTCTTTCGATGTTGGCTGCTTTTGGTTTCGTTCTCTGTCACAATATTTGTTGCAGCCCAAGCTTTGGGAAGGCCAATCCATGGCTGGTAGTTTTCCATTGTGTGTTTTTTCTATCCAGGTTTGCTTTTGTTGAATTAACAGTATGTTTGGGATCACTGTCATGCTGAAAAATGAAGCTCTTGCCGTTAAGACACTTTCCAAATGCGTAATGATGGTATCTGATGGTGTTTTCCTAAATTCTTAATTTCCAACATCACTAGTTGAAATGCAGCCCCAAACCACCACAGAGCCGCCACTGTTTCATAGATGCCTGTAGACACTTTCTGATGTACCTTTTTCCTGACCTTCTCCATATACATGTACATTCATTCACTTCATAAGATCCGCTGCCACTGATTTTCTGAAGTCTGCCTTTTTCTCCCTGATGCCCACCCTTCTACTTCTACGACCATTTCCGATTAGGCTTTAGTGAGGAGCAGATGGATCAAATGAAGGACCAGATTCATCTCTCTGGTCCTCATATTTGTGCTGAATTTTTTTTCCTGTTTCTGGAAGACTTTCACCTACTGTACATAGATTTTTAGGCATGCCGCTTTTTCCTCCACTTGTGCAGTTGCTCTGTTTTTGGGGGGTTTTTTTAGGCTACGCTGTACACCATGCAGAGAGATGCCAAGTTTTTGGATAACAGCTATTTTGGAATCACAATTTTGGTCCAGAAATACAATTGCATCTTTGTAGGACAGATTAAGAGGGCCACATTAACAAAAAATGTAGATTCCTGAAAATGGTCAGGTACAGGGATTGGATGAAAAAGCAGCCAATGCCCACAGAAAGATCTCAACTTTCAGAAAGTGTGAAGAATGACTGCGCAAGACCACTTTAATGAATTACAAGAAACTCCAGCTTCTTGGAAGCCAAACATAAAGATATGATGGATGGCTCAACACTTTTGCACAGTACTGTATTTCACTTACTAATTTAAAGTGCCACTGGTGCTTCCATCCTTGCATGTTTATAGGTCCAATTAGCAGAGGTTAATGAACAGTTTAAATTCAATTCCCACAAATCTAAAGCGTATCAAAGCCATCAGATGCTCACAGTGTGGTGATGTTTACGTACTCACCTGGCATGTAAATGAATCAGAAGCGTGCAAGTAGGCAAATCTCAAGCGTATATTTTATTTCCACGCAAGAAGAACTGACTTTCAGACCATCATCCTTGGCGACATCAGTTTCATTAATGCAAACACAACAGATTTACTGGATTTAAATGAGGAAAAATAGGACATTCTGAGCAGTTAGCTTAGTGGATTAGTTTAGGAAGGTCTTAAATCGTAATAAAATGACAAGGCAAGTAAATGTATTAATCTAATTTAAGGGGGGGGGGGCTTTTGTGACGCATATACATGACTGTTTTGTTTCTCTCAGAGGAAATCCTGGATGATGGAGTTGGACTGTTTCTGGAGAGCTCAGGAGACAGCCTGGATGACGACTCTGAGATCTTCAGTGAGTTCGACGAGTGCACAAAGGTAAGAGCACAATGTTTATCATCACTTTTATTATTATTATTCTTAGTGTCATCACAGAAAACATCTGACAACCAAGCTTTCGTGTAATATTGCAGCGCCTATGCTTCTTTTCCGTCCTTGTTCTTTACAGCACACCTCTTAGCTCTGGTATTATGAAAAAGCACTCACAGGCATTTCGCTTCGCCACAGTTTGACTCACCATCTGTTACTGGCTCATTTTATCTTGTTTATGAAAGCAGAGCAGCATCCATAATCAACATGAGGGTGTTAACCCCATGCTTCTCAACACAATCTGTATCAGGTTTCTCTTTTCCCTCCATGACACACAAGTCTAATGGAATTTCATAGCTTCTGACATGATTAAATCAAAGGGACCTAAATACAAAAATATCTCATCATTGCTGCATGAAGTGTATCTTATGCACTGGAGACAAAGGACAGGACAAATGATTTGCTTTGAATGAAACAGCCGAGTGATGGATGGGTTTGATTAAGCTTGCATTGTTATTGCTTGATTATGCGAGGTTAGTAGGACCAGGTAATAACTGGGGGTGGATTCATTTTTAGCTATAAATGAACAGAGACAAGTTTAAAAAAGAAAGCACAGAGCACTACTGCCAAGACAAGCAAATAAGTCTCAAAGACCCACGTGTTGCTGTTAAAGTGCTATGACTAACAAAGATGTCTAATTCGAAAAAAATGGAAGAAGAAGAAAGGCGAAAAAATAGTTAAAGCGGCAGTCCTTAATCTGCTCTCTGTAACCGACTTCAAAGGATCACTGGGCACTTGCTCATGAAATGCTGAATGAAAGCACTGATGTGCTCTTGTAGATTAGTTTATCTCTCATCTCTTATGACAACACTTGATAACGACATCATTTCTCATTGTACCCAGTTAAATTGGGAGCTCACTGCTAGAGCTCCAAGGATCAACGTGATATCCTCAGACATCCTACTTACCCTTCAAATTCAGGGCTGGTTACATGACTGCTTCTTTATACGTTGTCTGCTTTAATCACGCCGTTGAACTTGTCTTGCTTAATGAGCAGCAGTTAATCAAGTGCAGCTCTGTAACTGCCTTTGTAATTATTAATGATATTATAGGGATGAGGAAATCGAGACTAGATCTAGACTATGAGTAAACTGAAGGACAAAATCTGTGGTTAAGATTGTGATCTGCTGTGCTAAATACTGCTTTTTCAGCTATTTTTTTTTTTCGTTAAAAAAAAACATTGATTGCTTTCATTCTCCTTTGGGCTTTCTGTTTGAAAATTAACCAATAGGTTCCTTTTGTGAGATCAGAACTCGCTTTTTTCTTTGTGTAGCATTGACGGTATGTGAATCATTAAAAAGATGGCCCTGTGAAAAACCTCAAAGCAAAGAAAAGCTGAGATTTATGTCCTCGTATCTGAAACATGTCTATACGTTTTCTCGAAATCAGCTCAGGAGTGGCTTAACAAAGTGATAAAAATATTAGTTAACTAATTTATTTTCTGGCTCCGTTTTGAACATTGTCGTTGCGCACACCATGACTTTGTATGACAACAGCTGAAAAGATGATCAACGATTCCCTACTTTCAGTCATTGTCAGATATAGATAGCCAGCCTAACCTTTGTAAGATTGTATTTTGTGCTATGAAAAACACATAGATTTCTAATTATTTTATGGGGCAAAGTACTATCACTGTTTTTCTGTCTTGTTATTATAAAAGCTATGTGCAACATAACCTCATTACGTACTACATATTCAAAGCAAGGACTTTGGCACAGACCACCTACATCATTTCTCAGCGATGCCAATTTGTGTGCTCTGGCTACAGGCTCAATAGAGAAGAACTCAGTACGGCATCATTTTGTGATCTGAATAACAGCCTCTAAACTGTTTAGCTGTACACTCCCATCTCTCAATGACAAATGTGGAGTCTTTATGTGGGGCATTCTGGGAAAGTAGGAAATTACTGACTGAGTCAAACAGGACACACAGTGGAAAGCAAGTCATGCAATTCAGTTGTTATGCAGGGGGGGGGACTGGATGTTTGGTGAAAACAGCAAGTGTGTATTTTTCTTCCTCACTGCTATGGCATTTTCAGAGCTTGTAACTTAATCACAGGGACCATTGCTTCTTTTGTTACTTGTTAAATGCTGCACGGCAGTTCACCCCCTCTCAAGCCTGCTCCTCAGCAGCTCCCCTCTCCCCTTTTCCTGAAATCCTGCATTTGTATTCTACTGCGGCGTGGCTTACCCAGTCAATCCTGCTCCACTGCAGCCTTGAGGAGACTCTTTCCCTCCTGCTCCTTTGCTCTCTCCCCGGTCTGGAGGATTATCGAGACTAATTTACAATGCTGCTAGAGTTGACCAGATCTTCACACTCACACAGTGTGCCTAAGTTTACCCAGCCTGTAGAGAAGAGAGAGAGCCAGAGAGAGAAAACAGCAGAGTACTGGTGACAAAGCTACAGCAGACTGTGAAGGAGCAAAAGAAGGGGAGTTGGAAGGCTCTAAGTGCTGGTGGGCGGAGAGGAGGAGGCTGAGCAGCTCCACTCATCCTTCATCACAAGCACCACAGCATCTTCTCCTGTTTTTTTTTTTTTTTTTTTTTTTTCAAACCAGGGAAGACAAAAGGGCTCAGAAATGTATTGGAGAGACACAGTGTAGACTTTGCTCTTTCTAAAGCCCGGAGTCTTTGTTTTCTCTCTGGTACTTTAACTGACGCTGGCTGTCCATCTGCACCCGGCTATGTCTATCCTGAAGTGGAGCAAGCACAGCAAGCGCTCCACAGACTCCATCTATGACATGCTTCATCTGGTGAGCCTCTTTTCTTTCATGCACGTCGTTTTTTTACCTGCTTAATTCTTGGTGCTGCTGTGATAGCTGTTGTCTCATTCCAGTGAGAAGAAAAACAAAATCACCTGTCCTTCTCAGTGTTAGTTTCACACCTCTCGCTGGCTGCTGTAGACCAATGGCAGGAAGCTGTGAGTCACTGTCGCCGCAGAGTTGCCCCATAATCACTGGAATGCTCCAGGAGATGCCAAAATAAAATACTGCATATAGGAGCCCATGCTCTACAAGTCTTACTGCAGATGACTTGGACTTTATGCGACTTGGACAATCTACTGACTATTTCTGAGTTTCTCTCTTAGCACCTTAAGCTGCGATATCGGGCTTCAGTTTCAGAGAACAGACATGCAGTCTTCTCCTTACGCCATGCTTTTATGCTTTGAAGTAGTTTATTTCCCCCAGCAAATAAAATATAGATTAAAAAATATATCTGTGACAGGTTTTTACATTTACACATTGTTCTTTTAAATAGATACAGAAGCCTGTGATTTTCTTTTTTCTCCCCCCCTGTACTTTCTCTCCTTTCTAACATGTCATAAGTGTCCAAGCACCCAAAGCTGTCATAGTGTTAATTAGCCTAGATTGTGAAGAGCATGACTTGACTGTGACTGTCTTACTAGGCTTAGTAAAACTTTGCAAAATGTTCAGAAAAGAAACAGATTTGAATTTTCCCCTTTTTCTGCACTCTTGCAATCTGTTTGTGCATTTCCATCTAGCATTTCATGCTCAATTTTATGTGTAATGTACTGGACCTTACTAATCATCAGCTGTAAGTTTCATAAGACTTTTTTTTAAAAAAACTTTTATTTTAATTTTTTAACTAAATCACTCTCTACATCCAGTTGGTTTTACTTACAAAGTATGTGTTATGTTCACTCTGACAAAAAAATATCAGATCTAACAAATCACAAAGCATTTGTGAATTAGTGTAAGATCCATTTGCAACATTGCATTTACAGACACAGCACCTCCTAGTTCATCTGTTTATGTGAGAGCTGCCTGCTTAATTGGGGAACATTGTCAAGAGGAACAAATGGCTGTCGTGCCTCACATATCAATGTCTCTTTGATTAGATAACAAAGCTGATAACCACGGTCATTTGCAAAGCTGCCCGGGAATATCTGTAACAGTTGCTGGATAACAGTGTTCTTCTTGTACTCTGTTCTTCTCGCTCTTGCATTTTTCCATCATATTTTTGTGAATGACGGCAAAGAACATCAGGACTATGGCAGTTTTTCATCAGCATTTTGGTAAATATTGGAAAAATTGCACACGCATTGCTTTTTAGAGACAGCAGAATCCTTATGTTTGTTTGTCTAAAACTAAAAACAAAGTTTAGATGTGAAGACTGACAGCAGCTAAGATCATAATTGGGTTTTCTAATATGAGAACCACAACCTTTCATCCTCTGCAGCTATGTTGATGTATAATCTCAGTATTTCACAGGGGAGCCTATAGGTGTGAGAGGACAAATTGTTTCTGTCCAGCCTGTAAAACTCCATATAAAACAAAGCACACATCTCTCAGCTTCCAGTTATGAACTCAATAATGACTACAGCTCCTAGTGGTCCCTGTTATGTGACTGTCTCATTTGATCTTTATCATGTACTTTCAAATGAAGTCTGGCTTCACAGAGTGAATAAGGCTTTGATGGATATGATTTATGCTCTTTGTGCTTTCTGCTTTGTGTTTGTATTGATTTTTTTATTTTTATTTTTTTAAAAAGCCAAAATGCCAGTTTATATTTATGGATGCTGAGGCTGTGGCCAAAGTAACAAGTACTAGTTCAGCCATGTAGGCTGCTACTGAGTGGGGTCTATTTTTTACCCAAAATGATAGTCTAATGCACATCAGCGCTGGTCACCACGGCAACCCATACTGTATGTGGACAGACACCGTTGTGTGTATATTTTGATTCTGTGAAAGAGCTGAATCATTACACCACCGATCCATCAGTAGGAGGAAAACACCAGGGAAAAGAGCGATGTGAGTGAGAGGGAGGTGGAAAGTCATTGTTATGACAGACTGAAAATAGACCAAATTAGTGCAAATGATTTTTTTTTTTTTTAGAGCTGCCTCACTGCCTCTTTCCAGGCTCAGTTGCTGTACAGTCATGGATGTGTGCACAACAGTAGGTAGAAAGTGGCATCTGCTTCCTAATGTTTGTGGCTCCCACCTTTGTGAACATTGCCGTTTTCTTTTATGAAGGATTTTATCACTCTTGCCTTTGAAACGCTCATCTTTCTTTGGTTGTTTTCCCCCCCTTTCTTGCAGAGTACGGAGCAGGTCGCCGCTTTCTGCCGCAGTCTCCATGACATGAATTCCTTGGAGTGTGTGTCCTCTTCGCCGAGCCCGGAATCGCCCTTTCCACCTCCTGCAACTCCCAGACAGCTCTCTGATGCCGACAAGCTCCGCAAAGTCATCTGTGAACTCGTGGAGACCGAACGCACCTATGTCAAAGTCAGTATCACTCATCTTACTTGTAGGAGGCAGATGGTGTTTGTGAGTGTGCATGTTCCTCCTGTCTATCGATCGATATTTCTGTCTGCCTTAGGTCGTGTTAGGCTTCCACATTACCCATTCAACATGACCTATCCATATTTATCTCTGTGTCTCGGGAGATATGAGCAGGACACAGCTGTGCCCTTGCTTGGATATTGCCTAATCTTTTTCAGCCCAGTATAAATATGGCTCAGCGGAATAACTGGGTTAGCGATGCTATATAATGGAATAATTTAGACTAACTAAAATGTTATGCCCTATTTCACGGGCCATAGATATAGTTATTATAGAAATTATACTGCAAGTGACTGATGGTGTATTGTTCAAACAGACATGTGGGTGCATTTTTATGTTTGTGTGTCTTGTAGTAGGAGTTGCAGTTTTGTTGCTAATGCAATAAATACAGGCAAAACACTTGAAGGGGTTTTGATTTCAAGTTGACAAAGCTTTAATGCAATACCACATAATGTGTTTTGTTTGCTACAAGTTTGAGCACGTCATTTGGAGTCAGTCTCATGTTACTTTTGATTGCCAGGCATTTGTTCATTTCTTAGGCTTTCTACATTTCAGCTCATGTTTGTATTACCAGAGTCATCTACTTAATTTGGTTTCCATATAGCCGTTCTTTCTGAAGAAAAAGGCACCCACCAGCTGTTTTTGGTTTGAGCTTGAATTACTTATTTGTCCTGGTGTCTGACTATCCCTTTCTATACCTGTTGATTTGTTAAAAATGTCAAAGCCTTATTTAAAAATGCATTTTTTTTGTGTGTGTCCATATTTCACACGGTGGCACAAGGCAAACCTGAGTAAAGCACAATTTACCGACTCTTTTTCATGGTTTTCTTGCAGGATCTCAATTGCCTCATTGGGAGATATTTAACCCCACTGCAGAAAGAGACCTTCCTTACTCAGGATGAGGTATGTCAAATGCTCCCCATGTGCCTTTATGGGGTCCAGGCTTTTAAATGCCAGTACTGTTGAAATGTTCTAAGAAAAGTAGGTTACATAACCATGTGAAGTGCAGCTCTGTGTGAGGACAAGAGGGTTGGATGATGTGTGAGAGAGATGGGATGTTTGAAAATAACATGTTTTATCTGCACTTTCAACAACGAGGTTCATTTGGTTATATTCAATTTTTGGACATTTTTGTGGTTTAACTGGTAGCAAGTGATTAAAAAAAATAATATTTTGAAATGCACTGGAAGGTGTTAAAATTCTTTCTTTATTTAAAATAATCTCAAATAATTTTTCTTTCAGCTGGATGTTCTGTTTGGTAACTTGCCAGAAATGGTGGAGTTCCAAGTCGAGTTTCTCAAGACTCTGGAAGACGGGACGAGACTGGTTCCTGATTTGGAGAAACTGGAGAGAGTGGATCAGTTTAAGGTATGCACTTATTCTTTGAAATATACAGCAAAAGACTAGCAACAGGTATTTAAAGACCCGACAAAGTCTTTGAATTACTGGTTGTGTGACTCCTTTTTACAGAAAATCCTCTTCTCCCTCGGAGGCTCTTTCCTGTACTATGCAGACCGGTTTAAGATCTACAGTGCTTTCTGCGCCAGCCACACCAAAGTCCCTAAGGTCCTCGTGAAGGGTGAGTAAATGTGCTTCAGAGATGCAGCCCTCCTTAAAGGAGAAAGGATGCATTTAGGCTCCCAGGGCTAAAAGCTTTGCACAAATGTATGGTATATAATGAGCAGTCTCGAACATTGTCTTCTAAGCTAGTACACCCACTCCCTTCAGGACTTGACTGGATGGCTTTGTTTTCTGCATTTACATTCAGTGAGTCAACTGGTTATCTGCCACACTGTTTAAGGAGGTGCTATTAGAATAAAGCAGTTTTGTTTTTCTTTTTTCTTTTTTTTGAAACAGTAAACAGATTTTTGTTCTGCCCACTCATGTTTAGCTGCTGTTCGATAAAAATGACCCTTCTGTAAAAACAAAACAATTCAGACCTTTTGATGTGGCTTCTAATCTCTAATGCAAGACAAAGCATGCTTGTACGCCAGTAATCTGCATAATATCAGGCTAAACATAAGCAAGCAGACAACAAACTTATAGATCTCACCCCAACCGGTCGCAGCAGATGGCCGCCCCTCCCTCAGCCTGGTTCTGCCGGAGGTTTCTTCCTGTTAAAAGGGAGTTTTTCCTTCCCACTGTCGCCAAAGTGCTTGCTCATAGGGGGTCATATGATTGTTGGGTTTTTCTCTGTATCTATGAAGCGCCTTGAGGCGACTTTTGTTGTGATTTGGCGCTATATAAATAAAATTGAATTGAATAGACCATTAGTGAAAATACTAGGAATCCAATGTTTATCAATTACATAGAGGATAATTAAAAGTAGGTAAATAGGTAACATATCGAGGCGTTTCACTAAGTGTTCTTTTTTGGTCATTCCAGCCAAAACTGACCCCAATTTTAAGGCCTTTCTGGATGAACGAAACCCCAAGCAGCAGCACTCTTCCACACTGGAGTCTTACCTAATCAAACCCATACAGAGGGTTCTCAAGTATCCCCTCCTGCTGAAGGAGCTCTTCTCGCTCACAGACCCAGACAGTGAGGAACATTACCACCTCGACGGTAAGACAAATTCTTATAGCAGATCTCAAAAATATGTACAATCCCAACAACCCGCCTCATAACGCGATTTGTGCTGGACTGCAGTTGCCATGAAAGCCATGAACAAGGTTGCCAGCCACATCAATGAAATGCAGAAGATCCACGAGGAGTTTGGAGCTGTGTTTGATCAGCTTATCACAGAGCAGAGCAGTGAAAAGAAAGAGGTAGATCGGAGAAACCTGGCTTGGTTCTGTTATGTTAACCAAAAATGACACGCAATTGGAGCAGATTGGTTGATTATTTCGTTCCAATTACCAGGTTGCTGATCTGTCAATGGGCGATCTGCTTCTCCACAACACTGTGACATGGATTAACCCACCTGCCTCCTTAGGAAAATGGAAAAAAGAACCCCAGATGGCTACATTTGGTATGGCAGGATTGTTGATTATGTAATAAATGAATAATAAGTGTATGTATGCTGTTTGGATTCCATCTAAAAATGTCAAAACATCTGATGAAAAATGACAAATTGACTGTGATGGCACAGTCACACACGTTGTGTAAAGCGTGCACATGCATCAGGGCACATTTTGGAAAGAACTGCCTAGTAATTATGGAAAAATTCAAATGCCTTACACTCCATAAGTGACAGATTAGCAGCATTTGACAACATTTCAGTTAACTGTAATGTGGGTTGCATAGCAGTGCAATAGTTAGCACTGTTGCCTCACAATGAGAAAGCTTAGTCAGTTAAGGTCTCCCTGTGTGGAGTTTGCATGTTCTTCCTTTGCCCGTGTGGGTTTTCTTTAGGCTCTCTGGCTTCCTTTCACATCCAAAGACAGGCATGTTTGGTTAACTGGTGATTCTGAATTCCCCAATAATGTGAGGTAGACCAAGTACTTGGTCTAGAATAAAGTGCTGTAAAAATGTAGTGCTGTAAAAAAAGGTAGTCTAAAGTGCTTTGAGTAGTCAGACGGGCTAAAAAAACCCATGTGTATTAGTTGCCCCCCGACTTCTGACCATATATAGTATTAATAATAACAACAGTGGTACTAATAATAATATTAACTAAGGTTTGGATAACCCCAAGGATGCTTTACAGAAGAGTAAAAATGAACTAAAACATAAAAAAAAAAAAAAGTCTTTTCATTTTAGCAAGAATTGTTCACAATTGTGCACAAAAAAGAGACCAGCAACCCTTCCTATGTAGTTTTTAATGAACAGACCTGTTGTTAACTTCAAAGTTACATATGTTGATTTGACATGTGACCTGAACCCCAGTGATTACTAAGTCTTTTTTTCCACCAATGCTTTCTAGTGTTCAAAACAGCAGTGGTCTTTGTTTGCAAGGAGGGGTCCAAGCAGAAGAAGAAAATGGTAGGTTTTCACAAAAACAGGATTCCATCAGCAACACCAAACCCCAATCGCAAACATATTGTTGACTTGCCTTTCCTGTGGACCATTTTTCGTCTGTAAAAACAAAAACAAAAAAATTCTTTACTTGACTGAAGGGAGGTTCCCACCGGGTCTCTGTATCTTCTGAAGAAAAAGATCCCTTCAGATTCCGTCACATGATCCCAACTGATGCCCTTCAAGTCCGGTCTATGACCAATGCAGGTATAGTAGATTACAAACTTTAGTAGCACACTAGTTCTAGCTTCAGTCCGACTAATGATTATCTCACAATATATTACCAGATTTCTACGTATATGAGACATTAGTGATGATTTCTCCCTCAGATGGCGAGGGCTCTGCTGTGTGTGAGATTATCCACACAAAATCGGAGTCAGAAGGAAGACCAGAAAGGACATTTCACTTGTGCTGCAGGTGAGGATTTCTGCTAAAGGAGGTTCAATTACACTGCAGATTACAGCTTGCCCACTACTGATAAAGTCCAGTCTGCTATCTAACGAAGTGACAAACTGTCTACCTTTCTCAGCTCTCCGGAGAGCAGAAAAGACTTTGTGAAGACAGTCCACTCCATCTTGCGAGAAAAGCATCGCCGGCAGCTCCTAAAAACAGAGAGCTTACCACTCAACCAGCAGTATGTACCCTTTGGAGGAAAACGGCTGTGTGCTCTGAAGGGAGCCCGCCCCACTATAAATAGAGCAGGTAAATGCCAGTCTGTAGATGCATTAACCCAACAGCTTCAAGTGCACAATTTATTTTTGACAGACAGGCAGAATCCTGTGGTTTTATCCTGAGTTTTTCATTTAAGGTTTTAACCAGTATTGTAGGAAGATAATTACTTTCAACCAAACTCCAAAGTGATGTACTCAAAGTAGTAAGATCATAATAATTTATCTCTCTGATGTTCTGGGGTTTTGCAGCATCTGCCCCGACTAGGACTCTCGGCCGAAGGAAGTTAGTGCGCAACCGTTTCACCATAGACACGGATATTGTTTTTGATGGTGATCCTGAACAGCAAGACCTCGTTTCACCAGAGGAGCCTGGCTCAAAACGGTCCCAGCAGGATGAGGAACCAGATCAGCAGCAGCAGCAGTCTGACTTGGCAGGTGACACAGACCGCTGGGTGGAAGAACAATTCGACCTAGAAGAATACGAAGATCAAGAAGAGGTGAAGGAAACTGACATCCTCAGTGACGACGACGACAACGACTTCTGCCAGACACCAACACCTGCGTCCATTGAGACTGACCTGGAGGCCCCAGTCATGGCTTTGACCTTGGAGGGTGTGGAAAGAGAGAAGAATCAATCCCCAACAGCCAGTGAGACATCTGACATGGCGAAGCAGAGAACCATGATCAATGACAAGACGGAGGATCAAAATCAGAAGGAGAAGGATGAGATTTGGGTAAGAAGGGAGCAATCAGGTTTATCCCCAGACTGTGCCACATAAAAGCAGATGCCAGAAGATAGACAGCGAGTGTTCTAGACAGCTTTACATGGGCTCCATAAAAACAAGTCATCACAAACAATGCATGAGCATTGATGTATATTGCACAGCTAGTAGAAGATATACC